AAACGAGGACCAACATGTACAACGTTTCTTCTGGCGAGATGGTGATCCCAATAGACCCCTGGATACATATGTCATGAGAGTTTTGACTTTCGGTGCAAAATACCCCCCCCGTTGTAAGCAATTTGTAAAAAATACAAATTCCTGCAAATTCTCATCAGTCGAGTCCATCCCATGCATGATGGGAATAGTGCTATGAGATTGCCAAACAGGATGCTTACATTCATTTTCAGGCCAACTTTGAAATTAGAAGCAGCCATTCAAATTCATAAATATTGATAAAGACAATGAATTGTTCCTCTCAGAGTCCAGAAGAAATCGTCATGAATATGGATTCCGTAGAAACTACAGAAAAAGTTCTGGGCATATGGTGGTATTTAAACACGGATTTTCTCATATTATCGCTGAAGTATAATAAAAAATTCTTCTCCAAGAAATATGAAGGTAGAAAATTACATGATTGATTATAGGACAAAGAAAATGACTTTTGTCTAATTTCTACGGTCGTAACAAATAAAAACCTTAGTAGACATTAGAAAAAAGGTAATTTCTCTATCCTATATTCAGTTTACTTGAAAATGGTTTAATAGACCGTAAGCGGTCGTAACAAATAAAAATCTTAGTAGAAATCAGACAAAAGATATTTTCTTTATCTTCTATTCTTCATCCTATATCTATATCTAAGTGGAAATTAGACAAAAATTATTTATTCCATATTCAATATGAATTTCTACAAAATAAATAGGTCATCAATCGAACATGGGATGATCCTACGAACCGGCTGCGAAGTAGTATACGTAGACTGTACAATTGGCGGTTCTTGATGAATAATTATTACTAACCGAGTTTTATGATTGGCTGAAATTGAATATGAAGTCATGTTACGATGACGAAAAGAAATCGGGGAATGCGGGGATGGTAATCGCTGTCGTGTTCAGTTCAGGAACTGATCGCGATTTGAGTGTTGAAATTCAATATTGGTACATAAGGAAGAAATTGAATACTTCCGGCCATAACAGAAGCTGCTGTGACAAAACTCTTCAGAATTGGATAAAGAAACAAAGATTTAGATTTAAAATAATAAACAAACGTCAAGCAGTTATGGAAAGCAGAAGAATAGTGGAATTGCGTAACAAATACTTAGAACAAATAACTAAATATGTATTAGCC